TAAAAATTACATTTTTGTTGGTTTACTTTCAGTATCCTTTGTAAGTTTCCATTTTAGTATAGTTTCTCTCAATTTATTATGAACTGTTCTCTTCATTATTACATTACGGTCCGAAAACTTTTGCTATATTTAGTTCTTTTGAATATGTATTTAGGAACAAAACATACGTCAAATGTACATCCCTTTTTACGCTCATGACTCATGACAAATTACCTACGTTTCTATCCAAACTATAATATAATTAAATTTTTTTAAGTATTCTTCCATTATTTTGCCAAATTCTAAATATATTTCAGTTTTTGCGCAACGTGTTTAATCGAAAATCATCTATCAAAGCCAACCGCAGACAACAAATGGCAGTTTTTAGAACGCGTTTCTCAACACAAACAATTTATCTAATACATAAACATAAATCAAGATCGCATTACACACATTAATTTACATTTTTCGTAAAGTATTCTACCATAACTTTCAATAAGCCATCATATCTAACTAAATTCACATCTATGTGTCGTCTTTACTGAAAAAAAAATTGTAAATCCATAGGCAAGTGATTTTCTCTTGCAAAAACTAAGAACGCACACACCTTTGACAAAACTATCACACAACTGTTTAGTCGCGCTTCGATTCCTATAAGCTTATATGGAGGTGCGCACAGTATTCGATTATTAGTTCTACAACTTAACAGTTGAATTTACTGCGAAAGAATCGGCAATCGGGCAACAGTTGTGAAATATTTTAGTCAGAGGTGTGCGCCCGTATTTTTTTGCTAAGAGTGAACGCTGATATAATACTTTTTACAACAATAGATAGCTATCGAGGTTAAGCAGCGTACGTGGTCGTGTATCAGATGATCGGTTAAGCGTCGTTCAACGTCAAACGCGCATTGTAAAACAGGTTAAGCCTCTATTATCTGATATATCTATTTATAACAACTTTAATTTACAATATTGAAAGATTCACTAGCCGATAATTGAATAGAATAAACTATTGCACAACAGGTGAATTAATAGTACAAATTAATAGTACAAATTACAGATATACTAGTACAAATGAACTCAATTGTCCGACTGATAAAGGGTAACTTTTCACAGGTAAATTTGTGTATGAATATATTGTGTTAAAATAATTATATTATTGAAAAAAAAACGTTGTTACTTCGATTGATAAATGTCTATTTGTAAAAACAAAAAACATTGTGATAGAGAATATTTTAGATTAAGAACAGAAATTCCAAGGAGTATTTCAACATATTGCTTTCCTTTTTGTCATTCGATTATACGAGTAAATTGTTGTGAAAATCGTTGTTCCACTTGCGGCTTAAAATAAATTACTACTATATCAAGATTTGAGTTATTTATAGAGTTAGAAAACAATATTATAAAAAAGCGAATTATATATCAAGGCCAAGAAAACCAATGTCGTAACAAATTTAAAATTAGTCACTTATTTTCAAAGCTAGTGTTAAAAACTTCAGAGGTAAGTGAATATATTAGTTTAAAGTTCCTTTATCGTAATAGAAATAATTCGTTCTTTTGATATTCTAACTTCAAACATTTTGAGATATAAAAACATCAAAGCGTAAAAGCTTGTGGAAATTGCCTTGGAAATAGAAAACTGGAAGTAACACATAGGAGAGCAACGTCATTTTTTATTTATGCATAACAACTACTCCTGAAATATGCGTGGGCTATTGACTTTTTAGCAACTTTTGGTTCTTTTCTTTGAGCAACGAAATATGAAAACACCTAGAAATTCAGGATCTCATAATTTTGCCACACTATTGAGCTAACCGTTGGAAATATATACTACATTTAAACACTAGCTGTTGCTCGCGTCTTCACCCACATTATATTAAAAAATATATCCTTTGTAACTCACAGATAACTTACCTTTTTAACGGTAAAATCGGGCCAGTAATTTTTGAGTTATTTCAATACATACAAAAATGAAAAAACTTTAAATAATTCCACTAGTATAGATTAATGCATATTTTATTGTAAACCAAACAATTTGTTAATTAAAATGAATCATACAATAAAAGAAGAAAACATTATAAAAATTAGCAATTTCGAATTCTATTTAATAAGTATTTTAATCTGTTTAAAAATAAAATAGTAAAATGAAATAATTCAGAAGTACCGAAATTTTCACGATACGAATTTGGGTCAGCAAAGAGAGTCAGTTGTGCACACATTCGAAATGAATGAAAAATACTTTAGGGGTTTAAAAGAGCATGCTTGTACATATTTTGACGATGCATTTTACCATCTTTTGTGTTGTTGAAGTCATAATATACTTTCATTTACGACTAAAAACTGTTATAACTAAAATTTCATTTTTTTTCTATATCCATTTACTTTATTATGGTCTGTAACTGTAGAATCGTAGATTTTTTTGTTAATCTGTGCTTCATTTGATTCCTAGTTGATTCTATGATATGTCGGTATGTAGAATTACTGACATTTTAATTACAAATGAATGGGACATAGTATATCTTTTATATTAAGACTGGATTCGCAGTCTACGTACCTCAAACTTGTTATTATGACAATACAATAGAGTAAAGTTTGCACAATAAATCGTAAACCATCACTCGTTAAAGTCATACTAAAGCTTAGCACTAAATAATTAAGTATATAAATAAGAATGACATGCAGAGTTAATTAGTCCCGGCTCTCATGATGACGCGGCATATTAATCCTCTCTACCGCAGAATGAATTGTACCACAACTAGCGCCCTTTAGCGGCTCTGAATATCCGATGACATCGCTGCATTAATACGAACATTAAATATAACATAATAATGTATGTAAAAAATGTATAAAAAACATAAGATTATCATGCCTCTAATTATGTTAAAAAAACTACAATACGTTTCTATTTGCAATAAAAATGGTAATAATGGTATAGGACGTCCCGGAAAAATTTAAATTCTTACATCGATCATAGACAAACTATTATCTATGTATTTTCAGTATGCTTTTAATGTAAATCTGACGAGATTTCTATGCTTGAGTGAGTACCGTTACTAAATGGAGCGTTGTGTTGTACATTACAGCCCTTTGAGCCCTCAGTAATCATTCTGCGTTTACAACACGCACGTGTCGTGTTCGCTGAACCACAGCTGTGTAGGACATAATTATAGTTAAGCTGAGACACCCCTCCAGGCAAGCAAATGTAATGGATAAAACTGTTCAATGGCTCTACAGTTATTTTCTTACTATAGGGTATTACTAATTAGGTAAGATTGAGAGACGGTACGTTAAGTTTTGGTGTCAAGCTGTCAATTTATAACATGTCAATATTTAATAAATGCGGGATTCTAGCTATTTTATTTAATTTAACATTTAATAATTAATTAAAACTTTACATAGTCGATAGTTATAAGTTGGGAGGCTGCCTCATTAATCATGCTTTTAAGGAAAGCACAAGTTGGTAAACTTGTGCCACCAAGGCACCTATAAGCTTTCATAAGCCACAGTTCCCTAAACAAAGTATAAAGTTTGTAGCAATTATGGTAAGTTACAAGTATGTAAAGACTAAGCTGGTTAATGCAGCTCATTATGAGTCTTACTTTCCTCGAAGATTTTTTTTCAAATCCGATCTCACATATTTCAATAATTATGATGTTTCAGAAAGTATGAAAGTAAACCGTCCAGGTTTATATAGCATAACATACTAAAATGCATAAAAAACAGTTATAGAATGTGCTACATTTTACACAATGTCCGTACATATGATACAACACGACCGAGTGACCTTTTCGACAATTTTAGATCGAAAACCCATTCCCTCAAATACTGTAACATTAATATAATAACGACAAAGTTGGCAAGTTTTTGTAGTTAGAAAAAAATATATAAAGCAATATAAATAAAAATATTATAAAGGCAAATGATTATTTGCAATTATAGATGGCTTAAAATAAAACACGGAAAATGGAGAAAAACTGCATGAACAGTGTTAAGTACTAAAATGTATACGGGCGACGATATCTATAAAATATGTCTTACAATTTTGCAATAGAAAATTAATGACTAAGCTATTTTACTGTCCGAGTAAAATTGCAACAATGTCACTTTTCTCTTCTGAAAATTTATAGAAACTATTATTAATTGAAAATGATATATGAGTACTGCTTATACTTACTTACTTACTCTTTAGCTTGTTCTATAGACTTAATTTGTCGATCATACTAATGTTATAAATGCGAAAGTTTAGATGGATGGATGGATGTTTGTTAGAGTTTGTAGCCTAAAAGCCTGAACCGATTTCGATGAAATTTGGTATAGATGTAGAAGATAGTCTGGATGAACACATAGGCTACTCACTTTTTATTCAACGTGGACGGAGTCGCGGGCGAAAGCTAGTATTATATAAAGGTTGTCATTTTAAATACCATGAAATTGTTTTTTACTTTCCAAAAGGAGGAGGAACTCAATTCGTGAGTACATTTTTATATAGTATATGATAACGGAGTCATTGTTCGTTTGTGACAGATAACCTTAAAAATAACCCGAATACTATTTAAAATCCTGAAAAATGATTCAGCATTAGAAAGTACATATTGAAACCAAAGTGCGTAAAATGCAATAACAGTATGAAAGGAATAAAAGCATGTTATTTGTATAACAGTGTAGCGATAAGCTATTAATTAATTAGCTATCAAGCTGAGTGCAACCATATTGCCCGATAAACCTCGTGACCTTTGTGCCCGAGGTCTCAATAAATAAAAAGCAAAATCATTTTGCGTTTCACATTATTACACTTTAGATATTGGAAATAGATATTTTCATATAAACGACTTATCGCTGCTTTGCGGATAAAAAATCCATAAAGTAAACGACGAAGATCGCAATTTGTAACCCATATACTGAAGTTGTATTAAAATTATTTTGGCAACTTTTGTTAACAAGTTGGTATTGATTTATTTTTTTGGTTATGTAGCACAATAAATTCGTTTCTTCCAATATTTCATACGTTTTATACATTAATGTAATAGGTTCAATAAAAGGGATTACTAAAGTAATTTAAGTTTACAAAATTGGGAATTAGTCAAATTATGACTAAGAGTCATCGAGTCTGATGAAGAGATATTTGAACACTTTATGTAGGATTGGAATTAAATCTAGACTAAATCTAGGCCTATCGTAACTATAATTAAAAAAATCGTTTAATTATAACTAGTTATTTATTTTCCAACATTTCGTTTTGTTTAATTTAAGTAAGTAAATTCATAATTCATGTTTAAAAGACCGGGTCAGGCCACAGGTAAAACTAACATGTAAAATTGAGACGAAATGAAGTTTTTGTTCTTTCATTTTTTGTCTGCGCTCCGTGTGCTGTAGGACAAAGGAGTATTATTAAAAACCCAGTGGAGTGGAAACTGGAATGGCACCTAGACATGAGTTACAAGCGCTTACTACTGTGTCAGAACAACATTAAATTGTTCATTCATTTCGCATACCTGGTTTCAAAACTATAGCTACATAACAACTTTAGTAGTTTTTTTGCCACTAAACTTTTCACCTATAAGACTAGTGCACATGATATACTTTGTTTTTAGAGTAAACTAGCTGGTCTCGCAAAATAACCTAACTTCCTTAATGTTTGCAGTTTGTAGTTTATGGTCCCTTTCCCACAAGAAGGTGGTTGTCCAATGTATTTACCCCTGAGTTTAATGGCGTTAAAATATATAGCCTACATGGTAACGCAAGTGTAGGGCTGTTTATTAAAAAAGGAATTATTCAAAAATATGCTGTTATTGCTGACATCTTAAGCAACAAAGAAATGTGTGTAGTATAAAAAAGAGAGATGGAATTCTTGTATAGTGCAAACTTACCGACAGAAAGGTATATTAACAGCAGGGTACACATAGTTGGTATCGTCTTTGATAAAGCAGCGAGGTCTGCCGCTCGCACGGATCGATTTGCGTTGAGAACAGAATGTTAAGCGCTGTCACGTACTTGTCGCTCGTGGCATTTCAGACGAGCAGGTTGAAGGCCTCCGCTGAAAGTATATACAATCAATTTTAACGAGCTTTTGTAAAAGCTTTTTATAAAATTTTAGTACTACTAATTAGCTCACTTAGCTTTTTAGTGCTAATTAGCGTAGATAATACAATTAATATTGAATAGACGAATTCTTAAACCGAGTGCTTTATATAAAAAACCCACACGAATTTCATTCGAATTCAAACACATCGACTGAGATGCGTTACAAAATAGTAGTATTTAATTACTACTATAAATAGATAGCAAAGGTCATAAAACGTTTAAAAACAAGGATTTCACTTAGCATTCGATATACGTTTTTTATGACAAGTATCCATTTTCGCTTTGATCAAAATAACAGTATCGGGTGAAGCGTTAACTAGGTCGAGAGACAACTAATATTCAGCTGATATTGTCACTTCCATTCGTATTGTCGCGGGAGCGAGGTTTGCCGATTTAATATCTCTGAATTGACAATAAAATGCAAGTTTCTGTATGACTAATGCTATTTTATTAACTAACTTATGTTCAAGTTGGAGCATTAACTTACAATCGTATTATATACGTGCATTAGTTTAGTTCTAATGAAGGAAAATCCTACAATACCAGCTAATATACAATAAGCCAGTTCACGTTAGTAACAGAACAGAATTGTAGTTAGTACTGAGTTTTAAGTTATTAAAAAATACCCTACCGTTAGTCGCCCGACTATGTAATTTTTTTAATAAAACAAAAAAATGTGAAATGTTATTTATGTTCATGACTATGAACATAAATACCATTCATGTCTAAATCATGAATAAAAGAATAAGTACATGTTTTTTTTCAATTGATATTATTGAAAAATATTTGGTACAAAAAATACAAAACTTATTTCATTTATACACAATATAAGTTATCAATCTTAGCAACCTTTCACAATATAAAAGGCAAAGCGCAAAGTAACTTATTCCTGTACTTTGCTTTACTTAACAAACTCCCAACAAACTCGAAGTATTCAATGTTTACAAAGAATGGAAATTAAACTCCTTATTTATAAAATAAAAAGTTTTATTTCAGGGTTCAAATAACAGATGTTATCTTGCGAAATATTAAGTTTACTGAAAATCCAAATTTAGGTTTCCAATGTTTATAATTCTTAAATTAAATCTAACTTTAAGACAGAATGGAATAAACCTCATAAACTTAATAATAGGAGAAATAAATCTTTTTTATGTTTATTTTTATATAAATCATGTAAAACGTATTATGTAGTAAATAATTTAATAAAGATATATGGGAGAAATAATACATTAATGTCAATGGTATTTAAAATCGGTAAATACTGGATGGAGACCTGCGGTATAAGTCTTGTTTCTTACAGCAGTGATCGACTCTAAAGTCAATTGGTAGAAACATATGGGAGAAGAAAATATGTAGTGCCGACCCGACCTCACATTCTTAGTGCTTCGCTAATAATAGATTATAGTAGTTACAACACAAACTAACCCAGGTATTTGAACCGCAATATTTAATGTAACTGCTGTTAGCTAATTGAACGGCAGTGTTAATTCCAACACGTAGGTATCGGATGTAGGCGGCTTGACCTATGTATGTGCTAGGTTTTTGGGTCAAGGCTGACCTGAGCTTTGTCTTTGTCAGTAATTTCATAGAATTGTTAACATTTTTCCATAGTTTTGACAGTAAAACACAACAGAAATGATTTGTTCGTACCCGAAAGCCCGAAATATTGCTAGTTTTATTTCATGAAAATAAAATTAAATTTACTGTAGTGCCTACTTAGTTTAAGAGTTTTATGTAATTACGTGAAAAGACAAGTTGAATGCTAAGTTGTCTTAGCTAAAGAATAACTCAATACTATTTTTATTCTTAACACCAATATTACAAACTTATAAATTGAAAGCGACAGCTTTGGTATAGAATTTCACTGAGTGTAGCGTTAACAGCAAAGTTTTCATGTTATTTCAAAACAATGGTATTTTACTGCATAGTTATGTCCAAACAAATCGTTATTCCATCACGACACAATTTTGCTTATACCGAGAATACTTTTAATTAAAACTGTTAAGCCATTTCGTTCAAATTTAACCTATCGAAATACCGCAATAGCACTCGAAAATCTACGAAAAAAATTTATTTCGTTACATGTAATGTCTGTACATTAAAACAATCGAGGATCGTATATGGGTATCGATTGAAAATTATTTTCACTACAAAAATGGCTTGATGCTTTATTATAACATACTCCATGTTGTTCCGTCTAAAAGATAACGACTCACCGAACGTGCGGCATCTCCCTTACTACGTATGCTCGTTTTACTTGTATTACTCATATGTTCTACGACATACCACTTGCCAATTTTTTTTGTACCTTTGTAATAAGTTTATTATACTTATTCACCGCCATTAAGAATTAAACATTTTATTACATCAAATGAAAGTTTCAGAACGCTTTAAAACGTATAACAGTTTTAAACGAGGTTAACTATTTGAAAGCTAATTTTAAACGTACAGCAATGTTGCGGTTATGTTTACAAGTAGAGCTCAAACACAACTTTGTACATACCAATGTCTGCGGTCCACCTAATATTTCCTATGTATTTCTATTGCCACATACGTCTGCCACAACTGTCATTTTGAATACTTGTTTTTACACTGTTTTGAAAAGATCCAAATGTTGCAATTTATTGGTAGTTGTCAAATTTAATATTTAGTTTTTTTGTACAGATTCTTTGTACGTAAGCTGTATAAATTAATTTTTAAAGTACCCACATAAGTGGGTTGATAACAACAATACATAAATAAGTTTATTTACCTACCAACGTTACAAAAAGTGACGTAACATTGAAATACGAAATGGTATACGATACAAAGTATGGAACTATCCCGATCAATCTAATATCAAGAAGTGGTTGTATGACATGGCGGTATAAATCCCTAGGGAACTGACGAATATTCTATGTGACATGGAGACATCAAGTCCAATTATTATTTACTAGCTCTCGCCCGGGACTCCATCCGAGTGGAAAAAAAAACAAGGTGTGTTCTTCCAGACTATCCTTTATATCTATGCCTTTTTAACCAGATCCGTTCGGTAGTTTAGGCTACAAACTCAAACAAACATCTATCCATCTAAACTTTCGTATTTATAATATTAGTAAGATAACCAGCTTATTTTCTTTGAAGTACATCATTCATTTTAGTATGGACCAATTTCCTTGGGAACGTATTCACAACATCAAAGCGGAATTATTCTGTTAATTCGAACAGCTGAAATTATTTAGTATCAGCAGCATAGTTTCAGCATAACATAGATAATTTGTATAATTGTAGCATTGAAGACATGCTTGGAATGGACAGAGGTCTGATTGATATCTCTGATATATTTGTTTGTCTAAATAAGATAGATTAGTTTGATAAATGACGCATATGAAGTATCAAATTCAATTTGTATGAAGGCAAATGTCATACTTAATAGACAGGTATCGTAGTGACGAAACAAACACACATAACGAACAATTTTGAACTATCGATATTCGGTTTAAATAATTATCAAATTCAACTAAAACTATTGTTTTCTTATTTATTAATTTAGAAGACAATTCCAGTATTCATTATAGTGTAGAGAATTTAGCGATGACAGAAATAATAGCGAAATCTAATTTGATTACGTGCGGCTGTAGTAGTAAAAAACATTTATTTCCTCTCATAATTTGTTATGGTCATTATTAATTTGAGAAATCAGTATTTTTTTACTATAAATCAAGTCCAACTTCTACAAGAATAAAAATCGAAAATCGATAAGATTCATGACTGATTACACACAACTCATCCCTACTAAATTTGAAATGAATTGTCAAACTAATCTAAATTATTTAGACACACTATAGTATATAAATTAAGATATAAAGTTGGCTGTCAAAAATGTTGAATAAAAAAAATACCATGAAAAATGTTTTAATTCATAATTATGAAGTTGACGAAGATCGTTAAGAAAGATTAGAATGTTAATGAGTTTTCTTTTTACTTTTATAAAATTTTCTTTTGAGTTTTCGTGTTTTATGTGAATATCTGGGCCTTTTAGTATTCAAAAAGGCTCCTTAATTATTCATTCAGGGCGCTTTTAGATAGTAACTAAACTCGTTAATGAATGGTGGTGAGTTTTATAAAAATCATGTTCTATCAATTGCTATATTTTAAAGATTTATTGTTCATTAACATCAAATTAATGTAATTCTTTCTGTTTTACCTACATTCAATGTTGTACTGATAACTATATTTTCATTACTGCTTGCATTAAGAAAATATCACCCATACCTTTAGAAGCAGAGTACTAATAAATAATACGTAAAGGAATATTAACATAAGAATTCTTGACTGAAAACGTAGCACAATAATATAGCAATAATAAACGGAGGAGTATAGCAACGAGTGGATGTCAGAATAGCGAAATGAGGTAAACTACAAATGGTACATTATTCAAATGTGCATGTACAACCCTTGTAATTTTATTCAGTCTACCGCCCAAGCTGTCTACCGCCCGAGCTTTCTACCGTCCACGCTGTCTACCATCAACACCGTCTACCGTCTAATATGCAAAATAACTACGTGTAAACTTTTACACAACAAATATAAAATTAAATAAATAACAGAGGCTAGATCTAATCAGACGTTCTCGGAGCTTAGTTTAAGTTACTTTGAACGTTAATAAAGATGAATAGACCATTCAGCTTTCATTTGAGAGTTTAGAAAATAATGAAAAACAGAACTTATTAAAAAAGCTCTGTTTCATAATCTCAAAGAGCTTTAAGTTGTAGCTTATATGAATTAAATTTTTGAATGTAATTTATGAACATATAACCTTTTAAATTAAAACAGTTTTAACCTTTAAAGTTAGTTGCCTAAGATAAAGCGCTCGCCTAAGGTATTAATAAAAATAACAATAAATCAGGCATATAGCCGGAGCAGGTGAACCGTTACTTGCAAAATGCACTTCAACGGCGGCAAAGGAGATGGGGGGACAGGGCGCCTTATTGATCCTTTGCCGTCGCGCCACGCCGTGACCGAACATGACCTCCTCTAGTACCCTTGTACTCTACCTGCCCTCTAATAACTCATCTTGTCTCATTCCAATAAAATACTAATTCTTGAAATTTGTGAATGAATATTCGTTGAGAATGAATTCGACGTGTGTGACCAAAGTTTTAAAAACATGACAAAATAATGTTGTAGCTCTAACATAAAGTAACAAATAAGTATAACTTTTGTTCAATTTACTATTTGCTATTATTGGAGACAATAATCTTTTTATACTTTAATGTCCACTTCAATTAGGCAATTTAGGCAGGCAAATAAAAGTTGTAGTACTTTAGTAAAATGTAATAGTTATTACATAAATAAAAAAATACCGAGTTTACCCCTAACACCAGAACTCGATCTATTCGAAAATGTGTACTGTAGTAATGGTACATTGGACTGAGCATCATATTCAATAGTTCACTCGTCGTAGACAGTAGGCGTGAGTCGTTACGTTATTTTCGAGAAACGTAACGAAACTAGTGATTTGTTCGGCGTCACATGTTTTAAAACTAGTGATTTTTGTAACTAGTTATTTCCATTGCAAAAATAATAGCCTATTAAAATAAATCCTCTGTAATAGATGTAAAATAATTTCAATTTGACATTTGTATTGCCTTTTTGAATAATTAAACTTTCTGTCTGATGCCTTGCTTATTTTCATTTTTGATTATGTTCATACGATTACTAACTATAAGACTATCTTACTAAAAAACGCGTTTTAGTCGCATGAAAATGATCGCAATTTTATTTATTTTTTATTA